CTATCTATCTATCTATCTATCTATCTATCTATCTATCTATCTATCTATCTATCTACTTATGATCTATCTATCTCTCCTAGGAAATATTTCTTTTTAGTGTCTTCAAGAGATTTAAGCAATCTATAAGAAACACAGGAGGCAGCAGACCACAAGAGATATTATTGTACCATAAAAAGCAGAATGTTTGCATGCCCCCCATGGCTATCTAGTGAATAAACACATAGATAAACATTTCACAAGTCTTTTGCTGAAATTCTTTTCGCCTTTGGGATTAACTTGGGGGATCCAAGTCTAATTCATTTCATGGAAACACATAAGAATTATTCCCACTCCCTATCCCTCCACAATCCTCCATTGCACTAGGGCGTTGTTATTGTTTTCAGTAAATAGTTTTGATAATCTCTATAGGACTGTTGATGTAGCTGATGAAATTAGAGCATCAATTCACTTTTTTTTTAAAAAAAGTCTAAAACAATTGATTCTGAAGCTAATTTAAAAAGGTACTGTTAATATCCTTATAGTCTCCTATTTCAAAGTCTGTCTCGAACAGGAAAAAACTTCAAATAGTTTTGAAAATTTAGTGAAGACTGAACCAGATGGATATCAGTTCAAAAGTGAATTTTCCTACATTCTGCTTACATTTATGGCTTCATCACTATTCTATTCCAATGAACGATTTGCCTTCAGATGTTGTGCATGCTTCATCACTGGAGGTTTTTAAGAAGATACTGGACAGCCAACACCTCAAATTGTATAGGCCTTCTGCTAGGGGAGGGAATCGTACTAGAAGACATCCAAGACCACTTCCGGCTCTATTCTGATTGATATTCAACCTAGAAATAAGGATAAATTTTCTGACAGTGATAACAATGAATCAGTAAAACCACTTCAGTGGTGGGTTTCAAAAAAAATTCCTACCAGTTTGGAGAGCTTGCTTTGGCTGTGCACGTGTGCGTTGCGTGCACACATACTAATCGGAAACTTCCTGTGCGCATGCACACAGGGCTCAGACGCTGCCTTCTGTATCAATGCTGGTGAGCTGTGCAGGCATGCCAAACATGCGCTTTGTGTGCATGCACACAGGGCTCAGACGCCGCCCTCTGGATCAACACTGGTGAGTTGTGCAGGTTTTTTTAGCTCAGCTGAAGTGCAGCAATCCACTCTGCCACACGAATCAGCTGACCTAATAAACAACAGAATATAGGAGAGGCAAGAGCGGGTGGGGCCGGCCAGAGGTGGTATTTGCCAGTTCTCCAAACCAGTCAAAATTTTCACTATTGGTCCACCAGAACTGGTCCGAACCAGCTGAATACCACCTCTGAACCACTTGTCTCCAGTGTTGGGTGCTCCAACACTGGAGTCTTTTAACAAAATGAAATTCAATGTAGAGAAAAATAAAGTCCTACACTTAGGCAAGAAAAACCCAAAGGACACATATAGACTGGGTGAAACCAGGCTCAATAGCAGTAACTGTGAGAGGGATCTTGGAGTCTTAGTGGACAACCAGATAAATGGGAGCCAGCCATGTGCAGCAGCCGCCAAAAAAGCCAATGCAATCTTAAATTGCATCAACAGAGGGATACAATCAAGATCAAGTGAGGTACTAATACCACTCTATAAAGCCTTAGTAAGACCACACCTAGAGTACTGCATCCAGTTTTGGTCACCACACTATAAAAAAGATGTTGAAACTCTAGAAAAAGTACAGAGAAGAGCAACTAGGATGATTAGGGGACTGGAGGCTAAAACGTACGAAGTACGGTTACAGGCACTGGGCCTAGCTAGTCTAGTGAAGAGAAGGACCAGGGGAGACATGTTAGGTGTCTTCCAGTATTTGAGGGGCTGCCACAGAGAGGAGAGGATCAAGCTATTTTCTAAAGTGCCTGTAGGCCAGACAAGGAATAATGGATGGAAACTGATCAAGGAGAGATTCAACCTGCAAATAAGGAGAAACTTTCTGACAGTGAGAACAATCAACCAATGGAACAGCTTTTCCTCGGAAGTTGTGGGAGCTTCATCACTTGAGACTTTCAAGAAGAGATTGGACTCCCATTTGTCAGAAATGGTGTAGGGTCTCCTGCTTGGGCAGGGGGTTGGACTAGATCACCTACAAGGTCTCTTCCAGCTCTGATTATCTGTTATCTGTTAAGAAGAGATTTGTCCAGAATGGTATGGGGTCTCCTGCTTGAGCAGGGGTTTGGGCGAGAAGACCTCTGAGATCCCTTTCAACTCTGTTATTCTGTTATTAATCCCTGTAATCTTTTTAGTAACCATCTATGGCGTACATTCGCCCCTGCTGTGTTGCGTTCTGAACTAAATGTGAAGGCTAAAGTCTTCATAATTTGATCGTTCTTCTCTGAAGACTCCCTTCTGTTCTCTGTTGGCAACGTTTCTCTTCTTCTTACGGGCTCAACTTTTCTGCTGCTGCTTTCCTCTCCTCCTGAATCCCACCATCGATCACCGATGCAACAAAGGGGGCTTTCTAATCGAACAGATTCCACAGCCGAGAGGGAAAGAGATTGATGTCCCTTCCACCAGGAAGCATTTTTGGCCAGCAGAACGCTTGGGCAATACAATAAGCCCAAAGTAGCAGCTGGTCTCATCACTTAGCAAAAAAACCTCATTTTCTGAAAACATTTTGGGGGCGATAATGGACTCCCTTTATTGCTGTGATTAGGCAGCAAATTATTCCATTAAGTTGGAGTTATATTATTATTATTTATGATTATTTACTGAGTGCCAACTCGGCTACTCATGTGGGAAAGGAAGACGACTCGGTGTTGAAGTGTGAGGACGTAATGTGATTCTGTAATATATATTAAGTGGCTTTACCAGCAATCTGGTACAAGGAGATGAGGATCAAGGGAATTTTTGCAGAAGCAAAATCCGAAGTTTGGAAAGTATGACTTAAGATCTAATGGAGAAACAAGAATGTAAAATACAGAAGTGCTGTAAAATACAGAAGCGCCATAAAACTGCCTTGAGAGCTTGGTGTATCTTTAAAAACAGAAACCAAGTAGAAAGGAATAATAATTCTTGGCCATTTAAAGATTAAAGCCAACCGGTCTTTTTTTATTTATTTATTTATTTATTTTACTGAAGATTAACTTGGGAGGCCAAGTTTTATATCCAGGCTTCCGGTATTCCATTGTTAATCTGATATTTTGGAATTTAATCCTTGCAACTTCATGTCGTTTGGAGATAAACGCTCTGCAAGATTTGGGTGCTATGTTTCCTCACTGTTTGTGTCTCTTAGAGGGAGATTAGACAGAGAATTCAAATGTCACAATGTCAGAATTTGAATTTTTGGAATGGAGAAGCTCTTATTTACCTTGCAGGCTGTTATAGTAGCTCCTGTAGTATATATTACTCTGGATTAGAATTCATTTCAATTTTTTTCCCCACAGCATTTTCTATGCATCCCATCCAGTAAGTTTAGACTTTTAAGTATTTGTTTTGTCGTCCCCCTCACCCATTTTTTGCTGAATATTCATTTCCTGGATTTTTTTATGAGGATAAAATGCTAACCCTCAAGCCCTCCAAAAGAAAACTTTGTGGAATCCATCAGTTTCTGCCACCCTAACCACTGATCTGGAAGCTGTGTGAAAAATATGGAATTGCAAAATAATCATGGCAAAATAATCAAAATGGATTCTAACCTAATCTAAGGGGTTGCCACAAGGAAGAGGAAGTCAACCTTCTTCAAAGCACCTGAAGGCAGGCAAGAAGCAATGGATGGAAACTAATCAAGGAGAGAAACAATCTAGAACTAAGGAGAAATTTCCTGACAGTGAGGAAATTAGTCAGTGGATTGACTTGAATTTAGAAGTTGTTGGTGCTCTATCACTGGAGGCTTTAAAGAAGAGATTGGACAACCACTTGACTGAAATGGTATAGGGTCTCCTTCTTGAGCAGATGATTGGACTAGAAGACCTCCAAGGTCCCTTCCAACTCTGTTATTCTGTTATTCTCCCATCCCTGACAGAACACCTGATAATTATTTTAGTCTTGAACTTAAGACTAAGATCTCTGGTGTTCTCCAGTGTTTTAGACCAGGGGTCTTCAAACTTGACAGCTTTAAGACTTGGGGACTTCAACTCCCAGAATTCCTCCTCCAGTCAAGTTAGAACAAGAATTCTGGGAGTTGAAGTTCACAAGTCTTAAACTAGCCAAGTTTGAGGACTCTTGTTTTAGACTCTAATATCCATCAATTATAGCCAACATTATTTATTTGTTTTATTTCTATCCCATCTTTATTATTTTTATAAATTACTCAAGATGGCAAACTTATGTAGTAGTCCTTCGTCCTCCTCTTTTTCCTACAATAATAACCATGTGACGTGGCTTAGGCTGAGAGAGAGTGAGTGGTCCACTCAGCTGGCTTTCGTGAATAAGGTGGGACTAGATCTCACCCTCATCTGGTGATTGACCCCAAACTCACCCAGCTGTCCTTTGTATTGAAGGTGGGACTAAAACTCACCATCTCCTGGTGATTGGTCAAAATTCATCCAGATGGCTTTCATGGCAAATGCAAGACTGGAACTCACTTTCTCCTGACTTCCAACCTGGTGACAAGTAATTGTGGGATTTAGAGTACAAAGCATCTTGAGAACATCATATTGTCTACCTTTGATCTAGATCAGGGGTGTCAAACTCAAGGCCTGTGAACTGAATCCGGCCCATGGGGTGCAGTGGGTTCCAGGAGGCCATCATGTCCAAAAAATGGAGCTTTGTTTAGTGACATCAAGCTGGCCATGCCCCCTGGCCACCCCCTCCCCTCAAGGTCAAACATAACCGTGATGCGGCCGTCAACGAAATAGAGTTTGACACCCCTGATCTACATCAAGTTCTCCATTTTTGCATGGAAATATGTACAATCATGAAATAGAAGGAAGTGATAAGAGAAAGCTGAATATAAGAGGAGTAAAATGTGCATAGCATTAGTTTGGTCAAAGTTCCTTCTCTGGAATAGTCTTAAGGGGAAGGAGCAAGCCTTATGCATTCTCTTCGACTTGCTCTCAGTAATAGTCCGAATACATTTGGTATGTCTGCACCGCCCTCTATACAAGGTCAGAACAGCAATCTCTCTTATTGCCACAGTTGGTCTGAAGGATCGTGCCCCAAATCATGACTCCTTTAACTATTTCATTTTGACTGCCCTTCATTTCCTCCACCCTTGTCATCTTGCTCATTCCTTGTCAACAAATTTCAAATTCTCCAGCAACTCTAATATTGATTTGGGGATTTATTGAGCAATTGAGTTGTTTGATGTATTGATTTCCATCCTTTTCTGTGACTAGAGATTTTTTGAAGCGGCCTGTGGACGGAATTCGGCAGCGAGAGGCACAGAGCTCATCTGTAGCAAGACATTTTTCAGATTTTATTTCCCTCGTCCTTATGACAAACAGGATGATTTTGGAAGTCAGTTAAGATTCATTTGCTCCCTCCCTCCCTCTGTCTTTCTCTCTCTCCCCTCGATGGAAGAAGGGAAGAAAAGACCACTGCAGAATGGAGGCTAAGTGTTAAGAGTTTACAGCAGAAATTCAAGTCCAGAAAACACACAGATGACTAACTCAGCAGGATTCATTAAATAATTAATTAAGTAAATATACAATACTGGTAATCTCTTCTGTTGTCCCCAATTTGGGTCTGAGCCTAGTGCCGAAGCCAATGATGAATGCCAGACATGAGGTGCAAGTTTTCTGATTGCTTTTTATTGGAGTACTCCAAGAAAAAGGGCTCCTGGTCAAAAATTTCAAGAGCCAAGAACAAAGGATTGAGTAAGTTTCATACATTTTCACAAAAGGAGAAGGTGGGACAAAGTGAGATAATAAGAAATATCATCTAATAAACATTTTAGTAATAATTCTACAATTTGTTCTATTGGTCTCTAACTGTCCCTATTCCTAGGTCTTGGCTAATGAAATCCTTAGGAGTTATCTAATATCCATTTGATTTGCTGCAGGGCATTCTCTATTTCTAACTTTTAGCTAAGGTACGCAAGTTGGCTAACTCGTATTACTTTTATCAGCTTTCCAAATAGCCAGGATTGTTACAAGATTTACACATGCATATCTTCTGTGGATAAAGATTCTTTGTTCTTGCCAGGCAGACTCCGCAATTACAGGATTCCTTATTTACTTTCAAGTGTGTCCCATGACCTGGCTTTATTTTAGCAGGTGGCCCATCACTTCCAACGTGGAAAGGTTACAAACAACCCAAACAGAAGCAGACATGGTACAGCTCCAGTTCAGAGCAGAGCTCTAGTTTCAGCAAGCAAGCAAGCAACCAAGTTAGTTTCTCTTTCACTTTAGAGCTGAACACAGGACAGAGATAAACCACATCCAGATTCTCTCTTTTAAGTTTCCAATTCAGCTCTAATTGGCTGACTTAGTTACTAAGGTCTATTCCAGTTCATGAATATATTCTGACACTAAGAACAAGAGAATAATGGAAGAGACGTTGGGGATCTTCTAGTCCAAACCCCTGCTGAAGCAGGAGACCCTATACCAATTCCAGACAAATGGTTGTCCAACCTCTTCTTGTAAACCTCCATTGTTGGAATACCTACTTAGGCTTTCATGCCTAAGGTGAGACTAGAAGTCAACATCCTCTGGTGATTAGCCCAAATCACTCAGTTGGCTTTCTGTCTAAAGCAGAACTCAGAGTCTCCTGGTGATTGGCCCAAAGTTACCCAATCAGCTTTCATGCCTAAAATTGGACTACAATTCACCATGTCTCACTTTCATCCTGGGTCCTTAACCACTAAGCCAAAATGGATTAGTGCCTTCCCAAATTCTGTAGACCAGACACTGGATTCTTGGATGCTGGTAGTCGATCACCATCCTACAAAATTTGTTCTTCTCTTTCACTATCCAGATCCCAGGCTGTGTTGAATAAACCTTGTTCTTGCCAGTTTTCACTTCCTCGATCCCCCAGAGTTGGTACACATGAGTTGGTGGGTTGGGTTTTGTTGAAGAAAAATCTGATCTGGTTCCAAGCTGGGAGAAAGACCCTGAAAATAAAACGGAATCAGGCCTCAATGTAAAGAAGGTCTGTATTGATTTGGTTTTCCAGAGACTTCAGTGACTGCTGCATGTTTCTGGGGTGGCTGACCCATTGGCTGGGTGAGTAGGTGGATTTTTATAGGGTTCTGGGGTTTGGTGATTGAGATGCTCCAGGGGGATGTGCAATGTAATGAGCCTTATATCTTTTGCTATTATAAATAGTGGTGGGTAAATCCTATTACATCCTAAAGGTCATGTCCTGTCTTTAGAATTTGGGTGGGGGGATGTAGATTTTTAGGAGTCTTTGTTTTTCTACTTTTTTAAAAATCCCATCAGCTCCAGCCTTCTGTGGGAGCTTGTGCCTGATTGTGGGTTTTTTTTAATGAATAGATTGGCCCCATCTTTTTGAATGGCTATAAAATCTCCATCCCATCAAGCTTCTGCTTAAGCCTCTTTTTCCTATGGCAGGAAGACTGGGGCTGCTTTCTGCCTTTAAGAACATGTTTCTCCATTTCTCCTTTAGGGGAAATATAATATTCTACCTCTTTTCATACTTCCCCAAAATATTTCATTCTCTAGGGGGGCTTCCCACAGCTTAATAAACAAAGATCTACAGATGAAAGCTGTGGTACCAGGCCAGTAGTTATATCCTTCCCATAAGTGCCAGCAATCTACCATATTTTTCACGCTATAAGACACACTTTCCCCCCACCCCCAAAAAAGTGAGTGGAAATGTCTGTGCATCTTATAAAGTGAATGTTGCCAAAGCCCCGGCAACCCAACAGCCCCCACCCTTTGGCCTCTGCCTCCCAACAACTTGCCTCATTGCAACAGCAAACAACTGGTTTCTGTGAGTCCCATTTTCGGCCTCTGGGGGGTCCATTTTCGGCCTCCACATGCCCCATTTTGGCCTCTGTGAGCCCAGATTTGGCCCATTCTAGGTGGCAGGGATCGCCATTGTCTGGAATGGGCTGAAAACAGGATGTGCGGTGGCCGAAAATGGGGTGTGCTGAAGCGGCGATAGGCGGCGGTGGTGGTGATGGGCGGCAACAACGGTAATGGGCAGTGGCGATCCCCGCAGCCTGGAACAGCTGATCACTGGTATTCCGGGAAGCCAATCCAACTGACAATCAGCTGCTTGTGCTAAATCAATAAATCAATTTGCTGTTTGCTGCAAGGAGGCAAATTGATGGGAGGCAAAGGCAGATTTTTTTTCTTGTTTTCCTCCCCAAAAGCTAGGTGCATCTTATAGATTGGAGAGTCTATAAAATATGGTAATTAAAATGTATTTAGCATCTCTCCCCCTTTCCCCACCTCTGTAAAAAAAAATTAATAGAAGGGTTGATTGATTGATTGATTGAATTGGTTTGTGACTTATCTCATCACAAAGCAACTGTTACATTGTCTTCTTTCCACACAGTTCCAGGACTATATTTGTGATACAAGAAAAGTGAGGATGCCTCAGTAATGTAAAAACAGTTATGGGCTATGTATCGACAGAAAACACAAAGATAAGAGGAGAATTGTGCATCTTGTAAAAGTTTTTTTTTTTTTTTTGTTTATAAATAAAGAATAATGAGTCTTAGACCTAATGTTATCTATAATGGCGGTATTATATAGTAATAGAATTTGGCTGCAGATTTATTGATAATGTAAATCGAGGTTTGAACAACTAGAAAGACACCGGGAGGAACTTTAAGTATAAACCCAATCTTGAAACTGAGAATATAGGAGATTTTGTTGCAGTGAGTATGATACCAAGAGACAGAGAAGAGATAATTTCTTGAAATCTGGAATACTGTTGTTATGTTATTGTGTTGTGATTTATTTAAATTATTTGATGATAAATCATAGCAGACTATGTTTCTGTATGTGCTGTTTTTCTAATGGAAGCAGTAATATTCCAGCTTTCTCATACCCAACATTTAACATTTTTCCTTAGAGTTGCCCCCAAAGGGAGAGAAACACTTTTTTAAAGTCTTACCCCAGCTGGTTGAAAAGTTGGCAGCATAGACAAACTTTTTAAACTTTGATTTTGAAGACTGTAGGAACTAAAG